CTGCAGTACGTTGTACAATATTAAAAATGTACGTTGTAGACTTATACATAATGACATTATTCATTAAAACTGCGTTTCAATTGAATACGTATCAGGATTAGATTAAATCATGTAATCTACTTAAATTACGCTATGGAGATAGCTTAACTACGTTATATCTATTCTTGTTAATCTTATAAATACATTTATAAAACCTTTAACTGTGCGGTAAACACATAACATGATTGTCTTAATCATGTGAAATAGATAACGACGTATGAATTGTAATTTCGTCAATTCATGTTAACTTGTAACATGAGATATTTAAGTTAGTTTATAGAGTAACTCCCTACTGTTTACTGCGAAAGAGTAATCCTGAAATCCTGTGATGATATAACCAGGTTGATTCGTCCCCATCATTTGGGATCGATATACATAGCTTGTTAATAGCTAGACTTGTGTCCTTGTGTGGCATTTAGAGCACTGAATTGATAGCTTGTTGGATATCTACGCTTGTGTCCCTGTGTGGCATTTAGAGCCAGGTGGGTTGTGTCCTGGTTTACTTTGATAGCGGACGGGTTGAACTTGGATAGATACGTTTCAAGAACTTGTTATGGAGTTGGTGTTTACTACAGCCATTTCCCTTTTACTTCCTCACCACCTCCTTACCTGTTTCCTGATTTATCATTATTATTATGTTAAAATGTACACTGCAGTTACTCCCATGTATTTATTTACAATTCTCATTCGCTTGTAATGGGCCAACCAATCAAAACAACCTACTCTGGTTAGGCGGGTCCCAACTACGTAGAAAATTGTGATTTTTTATTAATATTATCTCCTGCTTTGTAGTTTATAAAAATATGAAAAAATATGAATTTTGAAAAGACGGACAGGAATATTCTAGAAGCTTAAAAAGAGCGTAAAAGTATGAGGTAGTATACAGAACAGTATGATAAGGGAGTTAGTTAACCAAAAGTAAGTTTGGCCCAGTCACACAAGTGGATGCAACAATTTAGAGCTGTGTAGACTTCAGAATGCTGTGTGTGTTGAATAGATAAATCTAGATTTCGGAATGAAAATATAGTTTTAAAAGATGCCGCGTCAGTTAAAGACGACTGAAAAGAATTCCCGTGTTCATTTTCTTTATTCCTACGAATTCCCAAGCAAACATCATTAAATTAATTTCACGTTTTAAAATTTTTAAATTTGGCATTTTTCCAAAACATTCGAAGACCGGTCATTTCTACTTGCCCGCTGTTTTATAGCTTAATCACTAAACATTATAGCGGCCCACTGTGTACACTGTATACAAACTCAGAAATGCGGGGAACTGGAAGAAACCCCGCCAAAATAATGTCCGCCATTTTAGATTTATAAGAGCATTTGTCATTTAGGATTAAACTTAATATAATCATGGTTTGGGTTTTTCAGATTTTGCATACTGATAACTCATGTCATGTTGTATCACTTGCAATTCCTATTATTAAATGACGTTTTTAAATCCTTATATATCAACGTGCCAATCCTCTAATTTATTTTATCGCGGTCAATGGAATGTTTATGGGAAATATATATTGGTCAAGTTAAACAAACTAAATATTTCGCCAAATAGTTTGCTAAATAATTCGCCAAATAGTTAGCTAAATATTTCGCAGATTTGGTCAATGGGATTAGGAAGAATCAAAGAAAGGTTATCTCTTTCAGTCTTTAGAGTGTCTACTTAGTACTTCTTCGCACTCCTTTTCAAGAAAAAATGTAAAGCTTTTTCAAGCATTAAGTTTTAGATCGCCATTATTTCATCAAAATGTTAAAATTTCTTGGTGGATTTTCAAAAATCGTATATGTCGTCTTTTTCCATTCTACATTTTTCCATTTTGTACAGCTTAAAACTTTCCTTCCATATAAAGTTGGGGGCAATCGGCTTAGACGTTTTGGGAGTTCTCCTAAGTTCTCTGACGAGTTATTTATAAACAATATCTCGTCAAATATGCAAATAATTACTTGCAGAGAACCTATTTTTTACGAGCTACGACAGCTTAGCAAGGATCTAATATAATCATAAAAATTGTAATTTCTTTAAAAGTAATTTTAAAACATAAGATGGAAAAGGTATTTCGGGTAAGGGGAAATTATGGGAATTGGAATAATCTGGGCGGAGAGAATTATGTGGGGGGGGGATAGACGAAATGAGAGGACCGATGAGGAAGGGGAAAAGACGGGGAGAGGGGAAATTATGAAGAGTAAGGGGGGGGGAGTGGGGGAGGAGTGTTGAAAAGTGAGGTATAAATAACGATGTTAAAGAGGGAAGGGTTAATGGCATAATTGATGTTATAACTTCTCTAGTTTATTAGGTTAGGAGGGAGGGGGGGGGGGGAATATTTACTACTTCTAAACAGGTCTTTATAAAGTACACCTCTTTGCACGCAAAGGATTGAGACGTTTAAACTTAAATCCGTAACAAGGAGTAAACAAGAAGTAAACAAGGAGGAAACAAGGAGGAAACAACGAGTAAAAAACGAGTAAACAAGGAGTAAACAAGGAGTAAACAACGAGTAAACAAGGAGGAAACAAGGAATAAACAAGGAGTAAACAAGGAGTAAACAAGGAGTAAACAAGGAGGAAACAAGGAGGAAACAAGGAGGAAACACGGAGTAAACAACGAGTAAACAAGGAGGAAGCAAGGAGTAAACAAGGAATAAACAAGGAGGAAACAAGGAATAAACAAGGAATAAACAAGGAGGAAACAAGGAATAAACAAGGAAGAAACAAGAGGTAAACAAGAATAAACAAGGAGTAAACAAGGAGTAAACATTTTCATAATTTTTGCTCATTATTAGTTAATTCACATATCCTACTCTTATATTTTCTAATATTTGGAAATGAACAATTGTCAATTTAGCTTTTAAAAAGTCACCAATTTTTGTACAATATCATACTATGATTTTCGCAGATTTTGTTCTAATTACATTGATGGATTAAAGAAAGTTTTTAATTTCGTTCAGTCATGCAAATCACCACAAACAAATATGGGCCCGATTGGTTCAGCCGTTTCAACGTTTATTGGATACAAACAGGATACAAGCCAAATAAAAAACTGAATGATTAAAACAGGCCCTTGGCCATAAAACCTATCATTGCTGGAAATCTGAAAATTCTGAAATTAAGATTAAGTGAACTCCATTAAATGGTTGCAAAACCAAAACTAGTTTCTAACAGTTTAAACCAGAGTAATATATTTAAGTCGCAACTCTTAATTCGACAAACATACGGGGTCTTATCTGTTAAGCCTTAAAATAAGTTGTAAACTTGGATTTTTACAAGTGTTATATTTGGATATAAATGGTCGCTTTGGAAATTTTATTGTTTTAAAAAGAGGTTTAAAGAGAGGTTTACGAAGAGGTTTAAAGAGACTGTGTTTACGAAGAGGTTTAAAAATTTATTTATTTTTATTTATTCAGTTTCATTTATTCATTTTTATTTACTCATTATCCATCCCTTTAAAGGGACTCTAAGCGTCCCTCCCTGCAAAAATGGGAATTCTTGATTCACAACAATACCTTAAATGCTGTCTTGGATCAAGTATGAATCAGATTTTTTTTTGAAATTGATAATTTCATAATTGTGAGACTCAAGTCCAATGGACATAAAACACAGCAAATGTGCAGTGAACTCAGACCCATTTTACTTAATTAATTGGTTTTCAAGCTTTTCGTTACACTATTTGCATTTTAATAACATAAAATAAACATGAGGTGGCTTAAATGTATTTCTTTATTATCTAATTTTTTTAACTGAAAATAAATCAATAAATTGATAATTTATCATTTAGATAGTTATCCATTTATTAGGTTAATTGATATCTATTCATTATAAATTTGATAATTCATTTATTTTCGAGTATTCACCCCTTTCATATTCATTAAATCTTTAAGATTTTAATGATTTTCGTCACGCGACTGAAAATGGCTTCTTATCTTATACCGGAAAAAACAACACCCATGTGAAAATACAATTAAGCTTAAATTAACATGTGTTAAATCAATTCATTCTCTGGTCTACGTTAAATCAATTCATTCTCTGGTCCATGTTAAATCAATTCAATCTCTGGTCCATGTTAAATCAATTCATTCTTTGGTCCATGTTAAATCAATTCATTCTCTGGTCCATGTTAAATCAATTCATTCTCTGGTCCATGTTAAATCAATTCATTCTTTGGTCCATGTTAAATCAATTCATTCTCTGGTCCATGTTAAATCAATTCATTCTCTGGTCCATGTTAAATCAGTTCATTCTTTGGTCTACGGTATATCAATTAAATCAGTCTTTGGTCCAAAATACGATGAAATCAGTCTCTGGCTGTATTTACTGCATTTTGTATGATTGTGTTTCAATGTTTAAGTGGTAAATGGAATTCATAAAAATATTCCCATAAAAATATTCCCATAAAAATATTCCAGGGATTTCGTTTAAAATCTTTACTCTGTGTTATAATTCTATTTTAATTTAGAATTTTTTTTGAAAATGTTTTAATTTCTTTTGTTTACTTTTCTATCGATCTCTTATAAAATTATCATAATTATCATAAAATTATCAAAGAAAAATCATGTTCACTTCAAAATAAAAGTCCTAAAATGATTGTTATACTTTAAATGCTTAATAAAGTTGAAATCTGAAGAATTGATTCAATTCAATTTATTTCATATTTTAGAAACTGAACATTTGCCTTAAACTCTAATTTTTCAATCATTATTTCTTTGCAACCTGATGTCGTTTATCCTTTCATTACAATAAATTCTGTAAAGTCAAAGTTTGAAATATCAATGGTTAGTGTTATTAGGTTGAACAGATGTTGCAGCGACTAGACAATTTGACACAAATCCTTAGATTAGGTCACAATATGCTTAAAATGTGACATTTTTAGAATCTTATTCTTATTTTACTGAATAATTATAATCAATACTTTTAAAGTACATTTAGAAAAATTACTCTTTGCTAAAAACTGATTTTTGTTAACTTACATCGTGAAATTGTACGTCATGTTGTACATCTACAATAGCGCTCATATCTCCGCTCGATTTGATTGAATCGCAACTTTCAACTCCATTTCTCGCGATTCAGGTCGTCATTTCACTTTTCGCATGTAAATCCACATAAGTTATGATAAAATTAAAAATCACCAGTTTTATTATTTTTGGTTCTCACTGTAGGCGTATACCGCGTATATCTTCACACCTCTAGGTTCAACTTGTAACTGAGTTAGACTAGTGCATCGTTCATATCTCCGGATAAGTCGAGGATAGATAGATAGATAAACCGCAGATTAAAGCACAGAACACCGTCTTACTCTAGTTCTTCGGTAAACATACAGCGCCACCCCNTTCAAGTTACAAGGGTATATCAACCCCTTCAAGTTACAAGGGTATATCAAACTCCTTCAAAGGACAAGGGTATATCAACCCCTTAAAAGCAACGGTATATCAAACCCCTTCAAGTGACAAGGGTTTATCAACCCCTTCAAGTGACAAGTTTATATCAGAATAAAGAACATGCCCGATTCACAACCATACACTCGTCTGAGCAGAAATATCCACGTTTTTCTCTCTGAAAATCTGAAAATGGATTATTTCCAATTGTGGGTTCTCAATAAAATTCCTTGTAAATTTGCGCAGCAGATACAAAGAAAAATTTAGTCAGAATTTATGAAACTAATCCGATTAGAAAACAGATCTTCTTATTTGTTTCTCAGCTAAAGGTTTAAAGGGTGAATCGGACATGGTGCTCTTTGGAGGTAAATCTGGAAGCATGTCTTGAGTCCCTGAATCCAGTTTTTGAACAATTTTTTAAAATTTATTCTCAATCCTTTTAATCTGATATTTACATAACTTCATGTCTCCAGATTGTCTCCGATTCTTTGCTGATTTTTTAGTTCTCCATCCTTTCATTTCTTTTTGCACTCCTCCTCATCCTTTTACTTTTCTGTTTCCTATCTTTCATTTTCAATTATATTATCCTTTTATTCATATTAACCCGACCCCCTTGCCTCATTAGGTGTAATTTTTACCCTCTCTTCCTCTGATCCCCCGCCCCCACATATCTCCATCCCATCCTCCCTACTATATTTTACTCTCTCCCCCNCATGTATCTGATCATTAATTTAGAAAATATCGTCGTTGTTCTAGTTTGAAAATTGTCCCATTCTGACAATGAAGACTATTGTTTCTGTAACCAGAAATTATTTTTAAGAGAATTTTAAGAGTAATTCATTTTTAAAAAGAGAATCATGGATAGTTTGATCTTTCTTATTCACCAAATATTACTCTATTAACGATATGGGTTGATAAAAGGTCATTATTTTTGTATATCTAGATGATATGGCGAAGGATGTTTATTAGTTTTGAATCCGGTTTTATCATTTAATCATAGAAATACATTTCTTTTACACATACTGTACACTGCTGTACATCTTCAGTACTGCAATACAGAAAATGTACATTAACGTACATTTATGCTGTGAAATATGAAATGTGAAATATGCATAATGCATATATGCTGTACATTGTGTATAATTACTATACTGTACAATGTGTATATATGCTTTAAATGAAAAAATACTGTACATATGTGCATATATATTGTGCAATGTGCTTATTTATATAGTACAATGTGCATATATATTGTACAATGTGCATATATATAGTACAATGTGCATATGTACTGTGCAATGTGCAGATATATTGTACAATGTGCAGATATATTGTACAATGTGCAGATATATTGTACAATGTGCATATATATTGTACAATGTGCAGACATATTGTACAATGTGCATATATATTGTACAATGTGCAGATATATTGTACAATGTGCATATGTATTGTACAATATGCATATATATTGTACAATGTGCAGATATATTGTACAATGTGCATATGTATTGTACAATATGCATATATATTGTACAATGTGCTACAATGTGCAGATTACAATGTGCATATATATTGTACAATGTGCAGATATATTGTACAATGTGCATATATATTGTACAATGTGCAGATATGCTATAAAATGGAACTTATTAAAGTCCTGCTAATTTTTTTCTCTTAAAAGTAAAAAAAAAATTTACAAATGTTGGTTTTAAGATTTTTATAGTTTAAAACATATTGTAAGAGAAAGAGGAAGGTTTAAAAAAAAGCCTAAATAAGCGAAACTTGGGTTTTTATAATTCTCGAACGTCACGAAAGAAAAAGCACGAACAAATTGTTTTGATCTTTTATATAATTTGATCCCATTCAAAGTATGCAATTGCAAAAATTCTTTTTTTTCGGATTAAACAATTGTATAATGTGTGCAAAAATATAGTTTATTACCCCCAATAATCGCCCCCTTCCTCCCCGGTTGCAAACCTGTTACTAAGCCATATTTTGGCAGGGTTGCTAGGGTTGGAAAAGAACAAATGTTGCAAAAAGGGTCAGTATTTAGTTTTCAACTTTGCAGCCCCGTATCTTGAAGTGGTTTAGCTTTAACGATGATTTAAAACGAACATATCTGATAATATATCAGTTTTTAAAATAGTTTTTAACCAGAGTATTAGCAGGTGAACTTCAGACCTGTATGAATTAGTACAAATACAGAATAGGGCAAAAATGAGAGAAAAATTCAAGAATTTCGTTTGTTATATGAATGTTAAAATTCAAAGAAACTGGGTTCTTGCTACAACTTCTGATTTTATAATCACTGTACCTTTACAACTCGATGTCGTAGACCTATGATATTTCAAACTATTAATTCTGTTAGATCAAATACTCTAAGTTTGAAACATAACAGGTTTGCACCATGTCTAGGATAAATAGAATTGTAAATTTGAGCGTGTGGCTAGAACTCAGTTATGTTGTCGGACAATTGTGAAAAATGGAATATCACCAAACCCATATTAAACTCAAAATCTATAAAAAACCGTGCACGGTTCCTTGTTTTAAAAAGTTAAAATTCTCTGAACAGCCCCGGGACAGCTGGGATAGTTTAACATTTGAAAATATTTGCCAAGTAAATGAAAATCTAGGGAGTTCAGGGAGAACCAAAACACACGAGTTTTCAGAGAAGATTTATAAAAGTCGTCTTTATTCTTTAATTAAAATATGCTGTTGTAAGATTGAAATTGTTCTGAAATAAAAAAAAAATAATAGAAATTTTTCATNTGGTTTGTTTTGGTTTAGCTTGGTTTAGTTTAGCTTGGTTTAGTTTGGTTTAGTTTGGTTTGGTTTCGTTTGGGTTGGTTTGGTTTGGGTTGGTTTGTTTTAGTTTGATTAAGTTTGGTTTAGCTTGGTTTAGTTTGGTTTAGTTTGGGTTGGTTTGTTTTAGTTTGGTTAAGTTTGGTTTGGTTTAGTTTCGTTTATTTTGGTTTATTTTGGTTTATTTTGGTTTAGTTTGGGTTGGTTTGGTTTAGTTTGGTTAAGTTTGGTTTGTTTAGTTTAGTTTAGTTTCGTTTAGTTTGGTTTAGCTTGGTTTAGTTTGGTTTAATTTGGTTTAGTTTGGTTTGGTTTGGTTTAGTTTGGGTTGGTTTGGTTTAGTTTGGTTAAGTTTGGTTTAGCTTGGCTTAGTTTGGTTTGGTTTGGTTTAGTTTGGGTTGGTTTAGTTTGGGTTGGTTTAGTTTAGTTTGGTTTGGTTTGCTTTAGTTTGGTTTGGTTTAGTTTGGGTTGGTTTAGTTTAGTTTAATTTGGTTTAGTTTTGGTTGGTTTAGTTTAGTTTGGTTTGGTTTGGTTTAGTTTGGTTAAGTTTGGTTTAGCTTGGTTTAGTTTCGTTTAGTTTGGTTTAGTTTGGGTTGGTTTGGTTTAGTTTGGTTAAGTTTGGTTTGGTTTAGTTTCGTTTAGCTTGGTTTATTTTGGCTTGGTTTGGTTTAGTTTAAGTTGGTTTGGTCTTGTATAATTGTTCTAGTTTGGTAAAGTTTGGTATGATTTGGTTTAGTTTGTTTAGCTTTGTTTAGTTTAAATGGTTTTGTTTTGTTTGGTTTGGTTTAGTTTGGGTTGGCTCAGTTTGCTTCAGTTTGGTTTAGTTTAGTTTGGTCTAGTTTGGTTTGGTTTGGTTTGAAGTTTGAACCTATATCCTGAAGAAAATGCTGAATATACGTAAAGGTCAAACTTCGACTTGAACATTTAGTTTAATCACTTTCTGTCTGTCTTCCAGTTTGGGTGTCCATGTTTGACTGTCTGCATGTGTGTTTGTCTTTATGTCTTTATGTCTGTTTGTCTATTTGTCTGTTCCTGTAAGTTCGTCTGTCTGCCCTTGTTATCTTTTTTATTTGTTTTTTTTTATCTTAAAAGGCTAAAAAATGGAAATACATAAATTGTCCTTGATTAGGAGTTAACATGTCAACATGTAATGTTTTTGAAAATAAAAAGGAAGAAATGAAATCTAATTGGGAATGAAGCAAATGTATGTAGTTTATTTTTACTGAAAGTAACCTTAAGAGTTTGTTTTTAATCTTTGTGACAGAAACAATCTCAAGAACTGACGAGGGTCAACCCAGACCGAAATATATTTTCAATAAATGTGGAACTAACATCTACTTCTACAGAGATTTGGTCCATTTCCATCACCGTATTTTAAAAAAGGGTTATATCCGATTTACAACATGTATCTGATCATTAATTTAGAAAATATCGTCGTTGTTCTAGTTTGAAAATTGTCCCATTCTGACAATGAAGACTATTGTTTCTGTAACCAGAAATTATTTTTAAGAGAATTTTAAGAGTAATTCATTTTTAAAAAGAGAATCATGGATAGTTTGATCTTTCTTATTCAGACAAGGTTTTTAAGGGTATCGTTGTTAAACAGATATAACTAGAATAAAATTAAAAGAAATTTCAATTTCATAGAATCTAATAAACCTTCCTTGATGAGAAGACATTATCAAAAAAAGTTAGATATAAGATTTTAAATAAATTACGCATCACGTCATTGGTGTCAAATGCGTCAAATGTGACACAGTTTTAATTGTTTTTAGCGTCCAGGAGCTGGTCTGCCCCTGATTACCATCGAACATTTTAAAACAAAAGATATATAAAAAGAAAAGTAAGATTATATCTGAACTAATTTTACTACAAACTTAGGCACTTTTGTATCCCCAATTATCAATTCAGGGGCGGACTAAACCTCCTCGGCTTCCCCTAAAAATTTCTAATTTATTATTTATTATTTATTAGTTATTATCACATTTCGAGATTTTCATATCAAAAATGAA